TAACTTCATTAAGACTCACCAAGTCGCTCATACTAAAAAGCATCCAACTTCTTTTTATTCCTTGCTATTGAGATTTCAGACTCAGTTTAATGACAAACATAACATTTGGTTTTCATAGGTTTCTGCTAACTACCTCTAATATTTGAATAACTTTTCTACTATTAGCTATAGTTTTTGTCAAATTACTTTCCTTTGAATGTTTTGTTTCCAATAATTCTTCTCTTGCTTGTACAGTTCACTTTAGTTAATTGGAATGGTGAAGTCACATATAGTTCAGTGGTCTAGTCTATAGAATACCTAGAGAAAAATGTAAACTGTCGAACAGTTTTTCTCAATTAGTTTTTATAAATGAAATGGTTCATTTAATTATCTTTGATGTAAAATTCATTGTCTTAAATAAGTGTTTAAATTACTAAATGGTTAAGAAGTTTTCGATCAGCCAAATGATTCCGTTTTAAATTGATTGATTGAGTTCCATAATTTGGCAGCTACAACATCAATGATTACTTTATTTACAAAGTTGCAAAATTCCATAGTCATGTTACACAGGTAGTAGTAGTTGTTATCCTTAAGGTTTAGCTCAAATTTATGATTTCCCTGTTACATGATAGAAACAAGCGTTTAGAATAATTTCGAACATAAATAAGGTATTAGACTAAATAGAACGATGACGATGTAAGTAACATGATTTCTAAATAAATATCAAGTTCGATTCCCATGAATCATGAAATAATGACAGAATTTTTCCACCTTTATTCTAAGATAAATACCAAGTTATATGATATCTGCATTGGTTTTCTCATTATAGAAAACTTTTGTAAGATCTAACAGTATACTGTATATGATAACACGTAATTATTCAAATGCAGTTATGAAAGATAGTTTTGTGCCAACTTTAGTAAATGTAGAAAATGCTTGTCATAACACAAGTTAGTTTGATTCAGTAATTTTTTTAGTCTTAAGTATATACTGAGTACAATTGTAATTTGATAGCTGTGTTTGTCTGAATTAAACAACTTAGAATTGTGATATTTTAAGTAGACTGGTCTATATTTGGTTTGACGATTATAATTTTCTGTCTAAGACTGATCGTTTGAGAGGACATACGAAAAAAAATTCAAAAACCGAGATCAAATCGTTTACGTCTGGAGTTTCGTTTCTCTCATCGAGTAGTGAATTATTGAAATTCTCTACTGGAACACGTAATATCACCACCTTCTGTTGACATATTCAAGACGAGATTGGACCTCCACAGTATTACAAACTTCAAGGATTAATACAGGTCGATAGACCTCCTATCCTTATTACTGAAGACTAATATGATTTTAAAGTGTTTTTAGTTTTAATGTTTGAAATATTTGTAGAATGTTTTGGGTTATACCGATAGAGAACTAATTGTTCTCCTTAATCTGGATACTAATTAGACTTGGTTACTAGAAAAACTATGCAACTAGCATTCAGCTTACAAAATTGACATTTTTTAAAGAATGAAACCCAGTTATGAAAGTATAATTCAACATTTTATTGGGATATATTGTATTGAATTGAAATGACAAGTGACATGTCCAGGATTCTCTTAATGTAATTAGCATTGGTTGCTGATTATTAAGTAAAATCGATAAATTAATTAATGCAGTTAGGATATTTGATATTTAACCAAAATAATGAAACATTATGCTTAGTAAAATAAGTGTAGGTTTTAGAAAAGCTAAGGGGAACTTGACTGAATGTTTATGATTGGTGAACACATTTATTGTTGGTTTGCATCATTTCCGAATGTGTCCACTCACTATTTGAGGTCCATGATTAAGATTGACCGCAGCAATGAAGATATATTAATTGTTTGTTTTTCCTTTAAAAACAGTATAATTGTCCATTGTTCACTATTCATTTTGCATCATTTATCCTTGTCGGTATTGTCATTTTTTCTTCCATACTTTTCTTTTTGTTATTGTCTTCTCCTTATACCAATGTGAACTGTGGGAATTTGAACTACTTTACTTTTATTTTTCTTTATTCAATTTTGTTTGAATGTACACTGTCCTCTGAATATGTTGTGTTCTAAAATTTCGATGTTAGTTGTCTTTCAGTATATGTGTACCATACGTTATGATGATTTTTAATATGCATGCAGTTATCTTACGATTATTATTGTTGTATCTCACAGGTTGTGTCTGTTTGACAGTTTCATCAAATGGGAAAGTATCCGTCATTAATCTACCTTACGTTTCCGGAGAATGGTATTGGAAACTGCGTTTCTTTTATCCAATCAGTAAAAGCGTGAGCATCTGTTTTATTAAAATGATACCATCAAAATAATTTTATTGTAAATGTAGGTGGATGGAAATGTTGATGAACTACAGAACTACACATTTATTCCGAAGACAACCTCATCTAATGTACATACAAATGAAACTATAAAATCAGATAATCAACTAATTAGTATTAATTTGATTATGTCCACAGAAGGTTCCAAACTACAGAAATGTATTTTGTTGTTAACAGTAGAGCAGGATGAGGAATACTTTGCATGGACAAATATGACATTAATATATCAATTTGCTGAACCTTTATCCACTTTATCATCATCTGAATTACCTATTTCCGAAGCTAAAAGTATGTATCGAACAGTTAAATTGAACACAAGATTTACTTAACCAATTCCTTTATTTTTTAAAAATATAGTTTCCACTACGTCTGATCAAAAATTTTTAACTCGTACTGATGAAGTATATGTGTGTGATACAGAGATACCAATTAAGTTTGGTGACAATATTGAGATTATCTTTAATTCAATGACATTTCAAGCATTTAAAGCTGAAGAAACAATTAGACCAGATCGTAAGGATACCATTATTCTTGTTATACATCATTCAATTATATTCTAATTTTTTCTAGGCTTACGAGAAGTTTGTCCACGTGACTTCAAGAGTAATATACCAATTACAGCATTGACTGGTGTTTCATTACTTGTTGTGGTAGTACTTATTATTTCCATATTTGGAATAAATGCTTATTTGGCTCATCGTAAACGAAAGCAACATTAAAACGAATATGTTTTATTTATTGTATATGAATAATTTATCTAATTCAATATAGAAGCTTATTGTATCATCTACAGAATTCTTATAAGATATAATATTGAACTATTGTGCACATTGTCTACAGTTATGTTGTCAAGCTTCATTGTTGTTCTTTATTGTGTTTTTTATTTGTGATTAGTAGTTTTCATTGTTAATTTTTCATGCCTTATGATGCATGCCCATCATCTTGAATGTTTATTACACATTCATTTGTTGTAACAAAAGTTAAATATCATTATTGTTCCCTTATATTTTACCATATAGATGACATGAATTGAATGAATGACTATAGAGAATAAAAGTTGTTTTTTTTTGGATTCATACTTTTGATTTTTTTATTTTTATTATTTTTTTGGACTATGAACAATCACACTTTTATTAAATTTCATAGTTGTGTATCCATGTGAATGATTGTTACAGTTGTTAGTATCTCTATGATTGTAAACTTATTTTAATACTGTTAAATTATATTATATTATAGTAATATTATTTATAAAAATAATAATTTAATAAATAATTAATTAAAAATAATATCATGAATCGACTGGTGTTAGATCACCGTTGGAAACCTGGAAGCACTGGACGGCCGTTTCGTCCTAGTATGGGACTCCTCGGTAGTGCTCATCCACGATCTCATTCGTGGGGTTCGAACCCATGGTTTTCAGCCTCGTGTGCGAACGCTTAACTTACTGGACCACTGAGCCCTCAAATGCCCTGGAACGGCCGAGAGTGGGGAGAGTCCGCTCTTCTTCTCGAAATGCTCTCACATGGTCACGCGTATATAGCCTCTGACAGGGAAGTCCTACTCACTGCCTTCTCGCAACAAGGATGTTGTTTACGAAAATGAGAGGACGAAAAGCGAATGTCCGGCGTTTAAATCGGATCCCAAACCAATGGTGCATATGGGCTGGCTTCAGTATCCTGAGGGAACAAATGGCGTATGAACCAATCGTTGGTCACCGGCTACCATGGGACTGCATCTCCTTACGATGCTCCACTGCCTTGTGGATGAGATCTTCAGGTCAAAGGCTCAGGGTGTGGCCCACTGAGAAAACCATCTGGTTCGGTTTTGGTACCCGGGCAGTATCACAGCCCTCACACATATCCAATGAGATCTATGTGGCGTATATATATTTGGTGCCTCCTTGTACCATTATCTATGTGTTAAAATAAATAATAAAATTAAATTAAAAGAAAGAATGTTATATAGTCTACAAAATATTTAGTGGTTGTGCTTCGAATTGTTATCAAAGAGCATTATATTACTCTGGCCAGTATAAGCTACTATTTATAGACCTTTAAATGAATGCACATAAATAGGTTTCTTTTTTTTAAATAATTTTGTTACTGTTAGTATTTCTTTTTTTGCTACTTTTACTTATCAGTGATTACAGAATGATATTTTATCGTTATTCACTTCCTTCCTTCTAATATAATGCTTGTTCGAGTCTAATACTGCATAGATAGCTTATTGGCTAAAATAATTCACTTTTACCCAATAATTTTCATGTTCGAACCCTACTCCATCGTTTTTTTGTTTTTGAATTTAAACAATCGAGTAATATCACAGGCGGTCATAAAAGTGATATATGGTTCAAAATAGATTACCTATTCTCGATAGAACAATCACTTTTCAGTGCATTATTCTCATGAAGTGTAGAATTTTTAAGGTTATCTATTTTCATTTCACTTGAATAGATTTCAGTAGGCGGACTACCATTGAACGAAAAAGACTGTTACTCCGTTGAATATTTTCATGGTAAATATCGTCAACTAATTATCAATATGATTATAGGCTAAAAAGTTTGTTCACCATTGAGAATAATCATTTGATATTTGGTTTAATCCATATAGATTGATAGAAATACAAAATCTTATATTTGATGAATGTGACATTTTAAATCGTTTCATTTTATAGAACAACTTTTCTTGAAGACATGATATTTCCTTACTTATATCAACACACGTGGACAACTGCGCACACACATTCGATTGGAAGAATGTGGAAATCTTGGACAGAGGAAATTCCAAAAACACAAGAGGATTTTTAAAAGCCCTACACTCAGGTCAATCAGCAATCAACAAACATATTGAAATCAATCTAATTTATCAACCAATCAGGAAACTTATACACAAATATAGGAACAAGAATCAAACTAATAGGAGACAAAACCAAAACCAAAAAGTAAACAATGACAAATTTAAGATCAATAAGAACCAATCAACATCGAGGTGTACAGAACAAGCTGTGAAATGCATATGGTGAAATTCGAACACTTCCCGTCTATCGTTCAGAAGAACAATGAAAGCTCCACGATCAAATCATCCAGCTCAGGGAACAAAACTTCATCTAAAACAATTGGTGTTTCATTGTTATTTGGTGGAGATTAATTTTTAAAATGGAACTTAGTTAAACTGTTGATCAAGTTACTGGCTATATGATATATGAGCAATTCATAGAAAAAACGTGACAGATTCTAATGCTCTCTGTACATATATGTCAGTGATAGACTTATGAAATTGAATCCGAATTTCAGTGTGAATGTTTTTGTTTTTCGACTGTTTTTTTCTATTTCAGCACGCAAAAAGACTATCAAAGTTGTAAAAGTTTTCGTCTTTTCGTATTATTATAAATTGGGTTAGTATAAAATGACTGGTATAATGTGCATTTTTATATTGAATATTTTTTGTTTTAATAATCCATTGTCATATCTGAAAATATCAGAAGGGATTGTGTGGAGATTTTTAGAAATGTCACTTGTTAAAATCATGAATCAATTGAAGCTAGACCACGACCATGGAAAACCTGGAAGTACTGGACAGCCGTTTCATCCTATTGTGGGACTCCAGTTCAGTGCTTCCAGGTTTTCCATGGTAGTGGTCTAGTTTCAATTGATTCATGATTTCAACCAGTGGAATATTTGATAATAGTCCTTTTTAATTAAAAAGAAAAATTGATTTGGTATAAGATGGTAAGTATATTTGAAACTTTAAGAGAATAGACAGTTGTTGTGTGTAGTGTATCACATTATTACCATAATATAGTTAGTTATTAATGTTAAAGTGTAGCTAGTTAAGTCAACAATTTCTAATTTTCATTAAAAAGTCGTTAAAATAAAATGTTTACCCTTTTGATGGAGTCTTGTTCTTTGAGCTGGATGGTTTGATCGATTAAATCATCCAGCTCAAAGAACAAAACTCCATCAAAATCATCCATCTGAACTATAGATCTTCTCCACCGGTTTCCATTTTTATGTTATAGTCGCTTTTTTTAATGATCGTTTATAAAGTTAATCACCTAAATAATAAAAGATTTTGATGATAGTTCCATATTTATGTATTTTAAACCATTTTAGGTAATCTTTACCGTCTACTGTTTTAGTTCAACTCAGCACCTTGAATTGATATATCGTTTAGCCAGGTCCTAAATAGTTTTTTTTTGTTTATCGTTATGTTACTTTATTATTATAATAAACATTGCAATCACCATAAGATATTCTGAACTAATTGGAATTGGATATGTGGAATATCATATCTGACCAGATGATGGTTGGAGGTAGTCGACAGGAAACCTTCGACCCGGGTTTCATGTTACTTTGCACTCGTCAGCAAGGTGTACCTGTAATCTTGAGGGAACTGGTGCTCTCTGACAGATTTGATCCCGTGTCACTCAGCTTTACAGTCAGAGGTGTTACCACTGAGCTAACCGAGTGGCCACATGGCAACATGGTTGATAACATTCGATCTGCACTAATAAGGACATGACACACATGACATTGATCACCACCCAATGATTAAGTAATTGTGTTCATATCTGACTTCCTAGTGTAAAGATGATCCATTCGTTCTAAGGTCTGAATGTTCTTAGGTTCGTTAGCATACACTATGGTGATTCGTCTGTCTAAAGATGCCTCATAACTGATAATATTAATATTTAGTGTTTGTAATTGGTCTACTGCAATTAATTCACATTGTTATGTTATTATACTTATCTTTGACTTAATATGAATTTATCATTTACTTGAGATTTGAACAAGAGTCACTTATTCTGATTGAGAATGAGTTTCATTGAGCATAGAGACTATTCAGAAAATGTTCGCTATTAGGTTAGAAAAACTCTTTAATCAAATTCGCCAATTCAAAATGTTGTTTGTCTATGGATAGTAGATATTTCACATTCACTTCCCTTCACTTAGAGTTAGCTATGGAATGCTTGTTCGAAGGGTAATTAGCCTTATAGTGGATATATTGATTTCCTCACACGGACACTTTCTTGTGATTTTATCACACTAAGTCACATAATCTAGAAGCTATTCATAGAGAAGTCTTTCTTCTACCACCATATTTTGCTGAATACACGCATAATGAATAGTGTCATGTTAATGATGTTCAGTCGTCATTGAATAGAAGCCTAATGGCAATGAATTTGAAGAATAAACAATGTAATGTTTAATGTTTTTTATAAAAAGTTTATTTTTTTACTTACTCAGTTAAATCAACCCTTCAGTATCAACAAGAGTTGCAGAATAATCAACAAAATACTGTAAAAGACTCCAACTCTTTTAATTTCATTAATGTAACGGAATGTATTGAATTGAACGATGCTAATTTGAACTTCATTAATCAACAAAGTAGAACAAAGTGGAATTCAAGTTCAAGAAATTCACATTTACCACCATTAAATAGAATTACCGTTATCTCTGAAGATGACTTTCATCAGTTATGTGCTCTTCTGGAGTTTCGTGGTTATTTTCTTATTACATATACAAACAATGGTACAAAAGAGGTAAGCTTTATTTTTTATAGCTTAAGTGAAAATTATTTAAAGTATAGTTTCATGTGTATCTAGTTTTTCCGTCTTCAAGGTTTCTGTTATTCTATACTTTTACGTTTATTCTGATAATATGGCGCTTGTAATTTAATAATCATACTTAATTTCCACTTATGAATCATGACAATTAACTTCAAGTTTAAAGAGGGTATATATGTGATATATGGTAGTGAATTTAAGATGTGATTGATCACTGAGCATGGACAAACAGGCTCAAAAGGGAATCAGACGAAGTATAGTAGCGCTAACTCGATAGAAGAAAGACAACACTCAACTGACATCACAAGAACAAAAAGCCTCAAAGAAAATAAAAACTAGAGATATTGTCATAGTTCCAGCGAACAAACTACTCACCACAGAAATTATGGACAAATAAGAATGTATCAGGAAAGCCGAGGATTTGCTTAAGGATAAAACGTGTATATATTAATAAACACAAATCTAATCAAAAAGTTAGACAATCAAATGTCAAGGACTTAAACAAGCTTATAAAAGAATGAAAAATATCAAGTCAAGATCAATGTAAAAGAAAATCCAGTAAACCAGTACTCCCTAGATTCTACGGTAGTTTGAAAATACACAAACCAAACATTAAACTATATCCAACTATATCACTCCCATACAACATACAGTTTATCAAGAGAAATTTAAAGAATATTGAAGCATTTAATGGATTGATTCAATCACTCCATCAAATCCATCATACAGTTTTTGTATAAGGTTAAGGAGATTCAAATCAACAACGAGGAATTGATGATATCCTTCGATGTAATAGTCCTATTCATCTCGATTAAACCAAACTTAGGAAAGGAAACTCGATCCCTGCTCCTTACCAGCGACACATATCTTCCATAGTACACAATGTTTCAAAGTCACATTTTACTAGAACTCATCGATTTATGCTTAACAACATACATTCAATTCAACAGCAAAATCTACGAACAAACGAAAAGAACACCGATGGAATCACCAATATCAGGACTTATTACTGAAGCAGCGATGCAGAGACTGAAAGCATCGATCTAACGAGTGATCAAACCGAAATTGTGCATTCTTTATTTTGACGACGCATCATCATCAAAATGAGGAACTGTAAAACAATTACAATCTGATCTAAGAAACAACAAAATGGTTTGCGTACAACATTTAGTCAGGAGGGTGAGAATACACTGCAGCACACCTGAAGTGCGGGAAAATAAAAAAATATCTAGTGACTATCTTTCAAAAGAACGCCTGCCCATTCGAATTCACCGAAAAAGTATCAACTCAGCTCATCAGCAGAAACGAAGTCAAGTACAGAAAACAACAAAACGATCATCCTATCATATATAAATGGCATGTCAGAAATTACGAGATAATTGAAGCCGTTTGGAATAGGTGTAGCATACAATGCAGCGAAATCACTTCAATCAATTCTATATAAACCAAAGGATGATATGATAAAAGAAGAAAAACCGAACATCACCTATAAAATAAACTGTTACGACTAAGAAAAATACTATATTTGATAAAATGGGCGTCCACTTTATCTTCTTCTGCACGAACATCGATTAGCGGTCAAAAGCCATGATATATCTTCCTTCATATCAATGCATGTGAGCAACTATGGAGACGCTTTTGACCGGGAAAATGTTGAGATACTGAATAGAGTGAATGCTGAAAGCATCAGGGAATTTTTAAAAGCTTGGTACTCAGGTGAATCAACAAACACGTTGAAATCTATCCGACATATCAACCAATCAAAAAACATGCACAAATATAATGCTAAGAATCAAATCAAGGAAAGATACAATCAAAATAAAGGTATGGCGATGACAAGTTAAAGGTAAACAATAACCAATCAACATCGAGGTTAGGGCGATACCATCAGCAACAGTCTTCTGTGAGAAAGATCAAACCAGCTTCCATCTGGCGAGGAAATTAAGAGAGGACGATAGAAATGGATAAGATATATATTACGTAAATCATCAAACTGCATCACGAGGCAAGCCCTAACTTAGAGTCCTGAAAAGGAAGCGGGAAAGAGGAAGTCCAAAGAACATATTGCTTCGGGAAGTAGATATGAAAAGGATGAATAACAAGTGGAAAGAGCTGGAAAGGATTGCTCTGGACAGTGTTGGATGGAGAGTGTTGGTGGGTGGCCTATGCTCCTCCATGAGGAGTAACAAACGTAAGTAAGTTTCACTATCGTATTAACGTATTATCGCTGTATACCTGTGTTGGGGTGATCCAGAAAATTCCTCGAGAAAGGTCTAAAAGGTTCTGAAGACTCTGAGAAATATCTTATTCAATCAGCATCTAATAGACGTTGTAGAGCTAAGAGGGGAAGATTTCATTTGTTCATAATATGCTTTAATCTAACATGATTAAACCATTAATCATTGAACTGATTTACCAGAATCATTTAAAATTTTGCAATAAACAGTAAGTATTGAATAATTAAAATAAAATGTCAACTATATTTACACTTTAGTTGAAAATCAGTTTTTTATTGTGACCTGACTTACTTTTTATATTGACATTAGCAGATTATTTTTATGAATAGAACAATGTAGCTAGTGATGGTTTTGTTTTATTCTGTTTCATGCTAAATATGTATATCAGTATTTCACACTGAATGCACTTTTTGTTTGGTACTATTTTGATAGAGTTTTGTTCTCTGCGCTAGATGGTTTGGTCGTGGAGCTTTCATCGTTCTTCTGAACGATATCATCCACAACACAAATTTCAGATAGAAGTGAAGTGTTCGAATTTCTCCATATATATGCGTTTTGACAGCTTGTTCTGTACACATCGATGTTGATTGGTTCTTATTGACCATTCACCTCCGACTACATGAACTCATAGGATATTACTGTAATACATTTTATAATTATTTCCAGGATATAATATTCTTATTCAATTGAATTTAAAATTTAGTTTATATTAATGGATTGACTGTCATTGAACAGTTATTCGAAAAGTAGGATTTCACTTCTATCTGAAGTTTGTGCTGTGGATGATATCATTCAGAAGAACAATGAAAGATCCACGACTAAACTATCCAGCTTAGAGAACAAAACTTCATCAAAATCATCCAGCTAAGCTACAAATCTTTTCCACTTTCTCATATTACTATGAACTATTTAACTTTTGATTTTGTAATGTTGTTTTTTAGATAGTTTGTTATCGAATTCCAATCGATTTGACAGAGAAATCTTCTTCAAAAGATGAGATTTCTTACATGTTGGAAAAATCTTTTTGGATGAATGATAACAGCACAAACAGTAGTATATTGGATAATCACAATCACAATCATAATAATAATAACAAATCAAAAATATCATCTATTGAGCCAGATAATTTGATAATAGTAACAACGAATTCATCATGTTGTGATAATTTTCTTCGATGTTTCTCTCTTCCACTGAATTCTAATGGAAATAACAAAAGTTTGATAAAAGATTGGACAATTGATTTTTACTGGAATCGTACACCAGAAATGTATGAATTTGGTGAAGAAGGTTGGAGTAGTGTTGGTTCACCTGTTGGTGCATTATCAGGTGTTTATGATCTGGTTGATGTAAAACTAAAGTATCGTTTTGATAGAAATTCTGGATTTGACTTTTTAATAAATGGAAATGGTATGTTCAGAGGTTACTTCATTTTATTCAACTATACTATTCCTTGTAATGAAGAGGTTTACGTTTTGTTTTGCTTAAACTTACCTTAAGAAAACAGTCGTCAAATAAATGCCTTTTAGTTGTGAGTGGTTGTTAGTTATTGGAAGAGTCTTGAGGCTTGAATTCCTTCTTCTTGGTCTTCATTAGCAAGTCATACCAACCATCCTTTGCTCCTTTAGTGGATACAAGCCTACATCAAATATTAGCGCAGCAACAAATGCCATGATCAATCTGTTTGAAACATGTTACAACTCCGGTAAAACTAAAATATCTACTTTCATCGGTTGTTGATCGGCAACCGATCTAGTGGTATCTGTTAGATGCATTTGATTTGTTGGACGACAGTCAATTTCTTCAAAGCAGATCCTTGAATTTCTGTAATGCTGAGATCTAAGGTAGTGACTATTTTCAATGTGATGAAAATACCATAATACACATATATTTTGAGCTTGATAAAGAAGATGGCAGTTTTCATTTGTTAGTTATGTACAAATCGTTTTATCAATAAGTCATTCATAGTATGTATGTTTGAATGCTACGTTTTCATAAACAATATTGGGGGGCAATAAATGTTGACTAATTGTTGATAGTATTCATTTACATTCTCTTATAATTTACAAAAGAAAACATGAAATATACATGTAATGGTTAGTAAAGTTTACTTATGTGAATATTCAATATAAAAATCGAAGCACTATGTGTGATACAGTCAAAATATTCCTAAACCCCATAGTCTAATCATTCACAGAATTATTTCCTTTCCAGCTCTTTCCACTTGTTATTCATCCTTTTCATATCTACTTCCCGAAGCAATATGTTCTTTGGACTTCCTCTTTCCCGCTTCCTTTTCAGGACTCTAAGTTAGGGCTTGCCTCGTGATGCAGTTTGGTGATTTACGTAATATATATCTTATCCATTTCTAACGTCCTCTCTTAATTTCCTCGCCAGATGGAAGCTGGTTTGATCTCTCTCACAGAAGACTGTTGCTGATGGTATCTGCCCAGTGGATGTTGAGTATCTTGCGTAGACAATTATTTATAAACACTTGTACCTTCTTGATGATGGTTGTAGTAGTAGCAGTGAATGTTGACTAATTGTTGATAGTATTCATTTACACTTTCTAGTTATTTACCAAAAAAAGAAATATTCCTAAACCTCGTAATCTAATAATCCTCATAGAATTATTTCCTTTCATAAATTGACACTGGACAGAAATAATAGCCTCATTTACAGGAATGTAATGAATTCATTATATATATATATATACTACTTACTACTACTCACGCCTGTTACTCCTAATGAAGCATAGGCCGCCGACCAGTATTCTCCAACCCACTCTGTCTTGGGCCTTCTTTTCTCTCTCTCTCTCTCTCTCTCTCTCTCTATATATATATATATATATATATATATATATATATATATTTCTATTTTCTCAGTGATTACATGGAATAGATTTTAAATATTACTATACTACCTGTTGATTTATGATGATTTATCTATCTAGATTGGATTAAAGCATGTTCCATGCACGATTACGTTGGTGTACGCTGATTGATTAATTCTTGTCCAATTAGCGCTAGTTGATACTTGGAGAATACTCTAGAAATATTCTCATATAAAAAAACTATAAATATACTAACGGTTTTCCTATTGTGCTTCTTCTTACTTCCATCTAACCGTGTTATTTTGTGGAATATAATCTCTTTCCTGTTCAACTGTGTTCTGTGATTTGGAGACTTGTCGAGTGAATCTATGTCCAAGACTAACTAAGCAATAGGAATAACCGGGTTATAACCGTAACAGCGAGAGAGAGAGAATTATGACAATCAGAAAGAAAAAAAGTAGTAAATTCTTTCATAAAATGTATAGACTAAATGAATCGTCTATTCCATTGTCTGTATAAACTTAGTTAATTCATTAATTAACTCATTCATTCATTCATTGATTATTACATTTTAGTTTTTTTGTTAAACAGTTTCTGGCTCTCTATGGTAGCTGAATTTATTTTGTAGGTGCTACCATGTGATCACGTTTTGTATCTAAGATAGTAATAACTTCTTAACTTATTTTCATTCTGGATGCTTTCTTTTGTGTGTGTGTGTTTTTCACCTCTGTGTGTAGTATAAAAATACCGTTTCAATTTTGAATCAAAAGTATTTCTTTGTGAAGTAGAAGTAATTATTGATAATGGAGGATAACGACTAAATTTTATTTTGGATTAACGCATGAAATGAGTGTTATCTGAAAAGAAACAAAGAAATACGATAAGAAAGACTTAAAGATTCCATGAAATATTTATGTTTATGTTTCGTCTTAACGTTTATTTCATTTCTGTAAATCCTTTTTAAACCAAATAACTATCTTATTTTGATTGAGATCATGAACCGATTGATGTTAGACCACCATTGAAAACCTGGAAGGACTGGACGGACAATTCGTCCTATTGTGCAACTCCTCAGCAGTGCGCATCCACGATCTCGCCCCCTGAGAGATTCGAACCGAGGATCTACTGTTTTCGCGCGCGAGCACTTAACCACTAGACCACTGAGCTGGCTGGCATCCAATGGTGTTAATGTCTAACTTCAACTAATCCACGAAATTGAACCACACATCCACCATTGTCTTCAGTGAGTTACCATCTCACAACAGACCTGGTTGAACTCCACTGGTCACTACTTCTCACTAGAACTCCAGGATATACCTCTTGAAGCCAGTCACTAGTGAGCATATATTGATTAATATCAGAAGGGGTTTTGTGGAGATCGTAGTAATTTCAATGGTTAAGATCATTTGTCAATTGAAGCTAGATCACCATGAAAAACCTGGTTTCGAACCTCGCAGGGGGCGAAGTCGTGGATGCGCACTGCTGAGAAGTCCCACAATAGGATGAAACGGCCGTCCAGTGCTTCTAGGTTTTCCATGGTAGTGATCTAGCTTCAACTGACTCATGATCTTAACCACTGAAATAAAAGTAAATGTTTAAAATTAAAAATAATAATTAAATTAAATAGTGGAAAAATAAAGCTTTAAACTTTCCTTCCCTAATGTGCACTTCAGGCTTGTATCTTTTGATAATTAGGGGCTCTGACAAAATGCATTGAATATATGTTCTTTTATACATTGGTTATTACAAACGGTTTAACAATGTCAACAATATATATTCAGTAGTTACTAGCGAAAATTGCAATAGTTTCTTTACTTATGTCGTTAGGAGTTTTGATCTCCTAGATATTGATTTACTCGTATGAAATGAAACATGGTATTCCAAATTAGGATGAAGTTTCAATCATTTAACTTTTCTTGGTTAAAGTTTATCCGCTGAGACTCGAATAAAAACATCAGTTTTGAAACGACAGTAACCTTCTATAGAACATTTAAATGACAAAACATTTGTTAGGACTTTCAAAATTTTTTCTAAAATGCGATGTTTTTAACAACTCACAAATGTACGTAAATTTTGATAGATACTCCTTCAACTGAATAGGCAACGAATTCTTACATTTCAAAGATTTGGATTTATTCCAAACTAATTGTGTCTTCCACTTTTTCTATGAACATTTGATCCACCAAGAGACATCAGTTCTATGGATCTACTGTTCATTACATGGTGTCATGTCATAAACTAGCATCATTTGGTTCTTATAATTACTTTGAGCATCATTAAATATTATTAAGTATAAAAACTACAGAACAACCATATGTAAAACGACTTAAAGACATGTGCAATTCAAACGGGATTTCAGTATTTAGGATTGTATAGTAATCAAATCAGTTAGGTGCTAACAAAAGTAAGTACTTCCAATCGCGGTCTCTGTGGTAATTGAATTTCGCTGAAAATAAATCCATGCTCAGCATTTCGTCGCTGAGTGATAATCAGCGTCATGTTTATTTAGTACACAGTGTTGATCGATTTCCATCAATCAAATTTCAATACAAGAACTAATTCTTTCAGTTCGACATCGGAGATATTGTTTCGACCAAGAAACTGGAAGACATGAGTTCAGATCTTACTTGGAAGCATCGGTCTTCTGAAGATTGAAGATAGCTGAGAGTAGCAAACACTACCCACCGCGAAATCTAGGTTCACAGATTCTGTAGATCAACTCTGAGAATTTAATGTATCTTGATGTTGTATAGCAAATAGTTTCTTTCTGAAATATGAAAACCATGTACTACCATAGCATCCAGCAACAATGAAGGTATTCCTATGTTGATAGCTTTTTTGTAAATGAAACTACATTATTAGTTTTCAAGTTATCACATAGACGTTTCAGCTGTAGTGTAGCTCCGTTATTTTTCAATCGGTAGGAAATGTTAACTTATATTCTTGATAAACAAAACAGAATTAATGAATTCTATTATTTATCAGTATTGAGGTTGTGGAGATTATTAAGAGTTTTGATTGATATCATAAACCGACGAATGTTAGACCACCGTTGGAAACCTGGAATCACTGGATGGCCGTTTCGTCCTAGTATGGAACTCCTCAGTGGCAGTGCTCATCCACAATTCCGCTCGCGGGATTCGAACCGATGGCCTTCAGTCTCGTGCGCGAACTCTTAACCTACTGTTATTGTTGTAAACCAACAAAATATCGTTGTAAACCATCAGAACAAAATGTATATCAATAATTTAATAAAAATTACTTATCTGAATTAAATATTCAAATGAATTGCATGAAAACAAATTTATGCAAATATATTTGGTCTAACCAATTTTGACTAATACGATGTTAAGTATATCGTTAGAACACTCACATTTCCTTATAAATGAACTACAATTCATGGATTATGATAATTCTATAGTTTTCTATTGAGATAATAAAAAGAAACAAGAACATTCATAATTCGTCGTAGATAGCAACGTCCTAGTTATGGATATTTTAATGAAGAGTGACTTGAGACTATTTTCAAATGATTTGCATATAATGGAGTGTTCTGGATATTTATGCTAAAATTGAGAACTGGTTGGACTAGTCAACTGCTTTGCTCTCATTATTGGACGTTCAAATGTAATGTACATTTGAATATAAGGTAAGGGTATTGAATTCAGGACTTTAGGTTATTGGACAAGCATCAAATCACTTAGTTACTGGGTTAGGATCAAGTGGTCACCGTAACCAATTTTAGACAATTGGGTATGTAGCACGGTTGTTATCATGAGTCCTGGGAGAATAAACTACTCTCTGCTGATTAAAAATCACAGTTTCCTACTAGAACGTTTGGAAACCAATGTCAAAACAAGTCAGTGATAAGTATATAATTTCATTTAAATCATAAATTTGGATGCTGACTCACTGGTCTAGCTGTCAAGTGCTCATATATTAAACTGAAGTTCCTGGGTTCGATTCTCAAGGTTGAGATGGTGAATACACACTACTGCAAAGTCCCATAATACGACAAAATGTTCGTCCACTGCTTCCAGGTTTTAAATAGTGGATCTAAGTTAGATTGATTGATGATTTAAATGAAATTCGACAATCTCTACAGCCCCTTACTAACTGGTATTGAATTGTTTCTGTGATAGGTAGTATATGAAGATTTGATGCTTTATAAAGATGATTCTCGTCACGTTCTGAAATTATGCTTGATAATGGCCTCAGTAATCTTTGGCCTCACATCCAGGCTAAACTTCTCACTATTCAAAATTTATAACTCTGACATAACCTATAATCAATCACTTGTTTCTAATTTTCTACAACTTTACAGTCATTAGATAGTATCGACTTAAATAAATAACCTCTACGTTTCACTCAAAAGTAGATACATAGAAATCGATATGACACTTTTCACATCCATTATAAGTGTAGCAACTAGTACGTGATTTTTGATGTGATGTTTCCGTTGAAGTGAAGTTGAGTGATGAATTTGAAAAATTGGATGAGAGTTAAACTTGGTGAATGGTTTTTTATCACTTGGTGGCCAAAGCTTGACGTCGTACAATGTTTTGGTCAGGCACGTTCGATTATTTATGTAGTTGATATTTTATATGTTAGAAACGAAACGATTTGGTTTCTAGATGGCTAAGGCTGTGTAGACTCAATATATCATTAGATAAGTCGATATTTGAAGCGAAAGGCACCGAATTCAAGTCGCGGTGTTGACTTACTTACTTATTATTATTTATGTATTTTAACACATAGATATTGGTATAAGGAGACACCAAATACATATGCACCACACAGATCTCATTGTATATGTGTGAGGGCTGTGATACTAACCGGGTGCCCAAACCGAAGCGGGCCGTTTACTTAAGGGGCCACACCCCGAGCCTTCGACTTGAACATGTGATCCATAAGGCAGTGGAGCACCGTATGGAGATGCAGTCCCATGGTAGCCGGTGACCGACGATTGGTTCATACGCCATTTGTTCTTTCAGGATACTGGAGCTAGCCCATATGCAGCATTGTTTTTGGATGCGTTTAAAGCGCCGGACATTCGCTTTTCGTCATCTCATTTTCGTAAACAACACTCTTGTTGCGAGAAGGCAGTGATTAGGACTTCCCTGACAGAGGCTATATACGCGTGGCCATGTGAGAGCATTTGGAGAGGGAGAGCGGACTCTCTCTACTCTCGGCCGTACCAGGGTACTTGGAGGTGATTTACTTACTTACGTTTGTTACTCTCAATGGAGAATAGACCGCCGACCAGCGTTCTCCAACCCACTCTGTCCTGAGCCTTCTTTTTTAGTTCTATTCAATTTTTGTTCATTTTCTCATTTCTTTCTCCATTTCTTGACGTAATGTGTTCTGTAGTCTTCCTCCTTCCCTTTGGTCTTGAGGATTTCATGTGAGGGCTTGCCTTGCGATGCAGTTGGGTGCTTTCTTCGGTGTGGGTCCTATCCACTTCCAGCGCTTCTTCCTAATTTCTTCCTTCACTGAAATCTGGTTTGTTCTCTCCCAAAGTAGGTTGCTGCTGATAGTGTCTGACCAACGGATCCGAAGTATTTTACGTAGACAACTGTTAATAAACACTTGTATCTTCTAGATGATGGCTTTCATAGTTCTCCAGGTTTCCGCTCCATACAGTAGAAATGTCTTGACATTTGTATTGGAAATTCTGACTTTGATGTTGGCTTGGAGACAGTTGTTTTGATTTCCAGATGTTTTACAGTTGTAAATATGCTGCTCTTGCTTTTCCGATCCGTGCCTTCACATCTGCATCAGATCCACCGTGTTCATCAATGATGCTGCCAAGATATGTATTGGTTTTTACATCTTTCAAATCTTCTCCATCAAGCATGATTGGATTGTTGCATGCTGTGTTGTATTGAAGAATCAATTCTTTTCCCTTTATGTATGTTGAGACCTACTGTTGGTGTGGCTGCTGCTACACTGGTCATCTTCTCCTGCTTAAATATGAGATATATCTAGATGACATTCCCCAAAATAAAACGAAATGCTTGTCGTTCATTCTACTACTACTAGCTAATATTTATCTGTAGCAATTTTTCTTTCTATTAGATTGACAACAATTCTAATGTGAAATCTTTATTCCAGTACACATCACAGAACTAAAACATTTTATGTCAATAATCTTGAACTTTGAAATAATAATGTTCATATCATTAATAACCCTGTCTATCATTTACTTATGTACAGTTTATAAGAGATCTATTGAATGTTTACAAATCCGTAAGTAGAACAAAAACATACTCACAACAGAAAAATGTATCAAACCAATAGTACCAATGACATTCCTCAACAAAAATGAATATTGAATTCTGTTACTTTCTTGTTAAATATATAAAAAGGACATTATTATGAATATAAAGATGAATTCCAATTATATTGAATATGCTATGAATATGACCAGCAGAGTAATGAGTTAAAAATCAATATTTTGTTGTATATGTGGAAGTATTTTACACTAGAATTGTTGCCAATCGACTAGAAAAAAAAATTGCTACAGATAAATATAAGCTAGTAGTAGTAGAATGAACGACAAGCATCTTGTTTTATTTAAAGCATGTCATCTGGACATATCTCATATTTAAGCAGAAGAAGATGACCAGTGTAGCAGCAGCCTCACCAACAGTAGGTCTCAACATACACAAAGGGAAAAGAATTGATTCTCCAATACAACACAGCATGCAACAATCCAATCATGCTTGATGGAGAAGATTTGAAAGATGTAAAAACCAATACATATCTTGGCAGCATCATTGATGAACACGGTGGATCTGATGCAGATGTGAAGGCACGGATCGGAAAAGCAAGAGCAGCATATTTACAACTGTAAAACATCTGGAACGTGACGAGAATCATCTTTATAAAGCATCAAATCTTCATATACTACCTATCACAGAAACAATTCAATACCAGTTAGTAAGGGGCTGTAGAGATTGTCGAATTTCATTTAAATCATCAATCAATCTAACTTAGATCCACTATTTAAAACCTGGAAGCAGTGGACGAACATTTTGTCGTATTATGGGACTTTGCAATCGGTGTCTGTTTTAATGAACACTGAACCGTTGAGTAAACACTTCTTTATAAATAACTTCGTTAGCTGACTATGAAGTTGTTAATCCATGATTATTCTATGACAGTGGCAAAAACTAGGCATCAGTAAAGTACAATATGCTGACTACACTTATTAGTGACATGGGTGTGGTATTTTGCAGATATATATAAAGCAGTAGGAAACGTTGTATAGAACTATTATAAGCTAAATTCCATGTATTTGAAAGACGATTGGAATTTACTTCATTTGAGAGACTAAAATCGGGAAAGTACAACGTTATTTACTGTCAGATAAGCAAACCTATAAAACCATAAGGGGATTGTTGTATCTTTAAGCCCAGTTGATTATCACATGATTTATTCGCCAATCAAAATACGACTTATACAATCCTAGTACTGTGCCAAACCAATGATGTTCAGCTGGTATGAGCAACACAGCGTCCTTATGGATCCTTTGTACTCCCAGCACTTCTAGTTGAGTCTAGAACGCTAATAACAGTTTCCATTATGGGAATCATTTATTTTAAACATACTTGGTTTATATACCAGCCAAATAGATCACATAATATTATAAAATAGGAAATAACATTGATACAAGATCTAACCAAAAAGTGAATGTGAACGTGGGATACTCTAGTTAATAAAGTGAGCATAACTTAAGAATAGTGAGTCGTAAAATAATATTAATCTATTGGTCAAAATGGAGCTTATAATATGAGGAAAATATATATATATATATATATATATATATATATATATATATATATATATATATAATAAGACTATATATATAATAATAGTCCATTAATAGTTCTCAGAAGTTATGTGTAATTTGATTCTCACTAGGATATAGTAGGAATACTAAGCAAAGACTGAGAGTGGCTAACAATGGAATCTTGGACGCGAGTTTTGTCCTATTCATCACTCGTCAGCTGGATGTACCTGCATACCAGAGTTGCTGTTCACTCCGGAATTCGGACCCAGTGCCATTCACTTCGCAAGCCATCACTTATCCACTTAGCTACTGGGCACACATATATATGTATATAAGAAGAGTTCAAAAATATTTTAATATAACTTCTTTTTTTTTTAATTTTTTTTTCTAGATACTAAAGAATTTATTGTACATAGTTTAGCTGAAAAGCGTTTACAAGCTAGAGTTGGTGATTATTATGAATGTGTTTCAGAGACACAATTGATTTTTGATACAGAAAATAGTACAGTAGTTAATTCGAATAATAATTATATAAAATTATATAATGATCAATGGAATATTATAATGAGTTTACAAAGTGTACGTTCTCAAGCATTTGCTGATGTCAATGTACCAGAATTTACTGGAGCAAGTAAGTATACTTTCTTAGTTACATTCTGTATATGTAAATATAACTGACAATACCTTCTGTTGTCAGTATGAATTACAGTCAAAATAGTATGATTTCATTACATTAATACAATTTAGCAGCAAAGCGTTGTACGATTCATCCCAGGTTAATACTGAGATTAGATGTATTTCAAAAACAGATGCAAACAGCAAAGAAACATTTCAATTAACTATATAGATATATATACATTGGTGCTGTCCAAAGAAGCACTATAAGCACCTGTAGAATGAGAATATCATGAATCTGCAATCGTCAAATCATTCATCAAAACAAAGAAGTAGGGAATCACAATGCATGTTATCCAATGCTATACACCCACCGATAATACCAGTGACGACCATAAACATCAGTTTTATGAGAGGCTGCAGTCGATCACAGAGAATTGTCCAGAAGAGGATATGACCATTCTCATAGAATACCTGAATATCGAGTCGAAATGAACATCACCGGATGTGAAGATATGATGGGACGAAATGGACTGACTGAGAGAAAGGAACGACAATTGCGAGAGATTTGCAAATTTATATGCATCCAACAAAATGATTGTAGATGGAATTATATTCCCACACAAACACATACACAAGGCTACATGGGTCTCATCCGACCACATCACGGAGAACTAGATTGACCATATTTGTATTACTAGTAAATTCAGAAGGTCGATGTAAGCCGTGAGAATCAAGAGAGGAACTGATATAGCTTCAGGGGGCCACCTAGTGGTTGCCAAGATGAAACTGGAGCATAAGAAGCACTGAACAACTGAACAAACAGCATTACAAAGTTTCAATACCGCCTTCCTACGAGATACTGACAAACCACGAAAAAAGCAAGATCCCCAAATTCAACACAAGACACCGACTGAATCGCACTTGACGGAGAAGTTCTGGAGGAGGTGTAAACTGGACTGTTTATCCAATCAACCACATTGGACCTTATTTGTTTTCTATACAATCTACAAGCACACAAAATGTCAACCGTAGCACTTTATATTACAAATACATACATTTTTTACCCACCTTCTGCCGCACAAATTAATGCAGTGACTTTGGCATTAATACCTATAAACAAGAATACCAATCCATTTAAAGACATTCTTTCCCATATCTCATTTGTTTTCCTATTGAGTTGAATATTTTGACTTTAATAATTTTTTTAAGACACATTGAAATTTTCAGGTGCCAGAAGCGTCATAGGTCTAATCGTATTGCAACCCTTCCAGCGGTTTATGAACTTCAAGGAATAACCATTATTCACTAACGTATCAGTCAAGAGCTTCGTATCGACTTCAATAGTATCACTAGTACAAACACGATTGATTCTATTAAATAAGCTCTTTATTAAACCACGTTTGTAATGAATAGGGCAGTGACTATGAAAATTAAGATATTGCCCTCTGTCCATGTTGACTTTCTGTATATAGCACGTTGGATAGAACCATTATCTCTCCTACTGATCAAGATGTCTAGAAATAGGAAATTTTTTGTTCTTCTCTTCTTCACATGTAAGAGAAATGTAGTTTTAGCTTCTATCGAAATGTCACTAAACAATTTTTTGTTATTGTGCTTATTATTATTATTATTTTCAATTATTATTATTATCTTTCTAGGTGTTGTATGTGCTGGTGATATTTCACATGATATGAGTCTATCTATTGCAATTGGTTTATCATTATGTAGTTTAGTGATTTGTGTATTATTCGGTTTAGCAATTAATCATTTCAGACAAAAAGATGAAGTCTTTAAAGCTGTGGATACAACAGGAGATGATCAGAAATCATGATTATGAATACTTTTGTCAAATTTCATACATTTAGTATTGTCATCACATTCATGACTTAAATTACTCATGTTTTGAATTTATCATTATTCATTATTATATTAGTCACTTGAACCAGATCAGTAAAAGTTTTGTAAGTTGAAGACAGCTGATAGTCTATGCATTTTTTCTCTTTTTTTACATTTAATTATTTCTATTCTAATTTTAGAATAAATACTACTTATAGAATTCCTACCGTGCATGTTTGTCTTCAAGAATTTATCGACCGCTGTAACTAGGCAGGATACTTTCGTATACAGGGCTATCATGTAAGTAATGCTGAGGTTAGACATGAGGTCATACTTAAGTTGATAAATCAGTCAACGAGACCATAAACATCTATCGTCTGAGAAGTCTTGAACATGTACTTTTCACTTGAGGTCGTTTATGATGTTTTTTAAGACGGTACCTTTACGGATGGTGATGAGGTATATAATTGAGTAATTAAGTAAGTAGTTAGTAAGAATGTTAGTTAGTAAGTAAGTACGTAAGAAATCATGTATGTAAGTGAGTAAGTAAGTAAGTAAGTAAATGAGTATGTATGTATGTACGTAAGTTATTATGTAAGTAAATATGTAAATGATTAAGTACGTAATTACGTAGGTAATCATTTTACTATGTAAGTGAGTAAGTAATCAAGTCAGTAAGTAAATAAATATGTAGGTAAGTATCCTAGTAAAGTAAGTAAGTAAGTAAGTAAGCAAGTACGTAAGTAAGTAATTATTTAGGTAGGTAGGTAAGTAAGTGATTAAGTATGTAAGAAATTAAGTAATTTAATAAGTAATCATATAAATGAGTAAGTAAGTAAATAAGTGAGTAGTTAAGTAAATACCAAATATATAATTAAGAAAGTAATTAAGTGAATAAGTAAGTATTTTGGTAAGTAAATAAGTAAGTACCTGTGTAAGTTACAAAGTAAGTAATTAAGTGTTTACGTTAGTAAGTGAGTAAATAATTAAGTGAGAAAGTACGGGAAGAAGTAAGTATTTTGTTAAGTTATTAATTACGTTTGTACGTACTTTAGTAATTATTTATGTAACTAAGTGAGTAATGAAGTAAGTAAGCAAGTAGTTAAGTGAGTAATAAGTTAGTAAGTGAGTAAATTTTTAAGTAAGTAAGTAAATAAATAACCTAGTAAGTTAGTAAGTAATTAAATATGTGAGTAAATATGTAAGTAAATGAGTATGTGTTTATGTAAGTAAGAAAGTAAATAAGTAAGTATATAAGTAAGTAAGGAAGGAAAGAAGGAAGTATGTAAATGAGTAAGTCAGTGAGTATGTAAGTAAGTAAATAAGTATATGTTTATGTAAAATAAAGTAATTGGTTGGACAAGCATTTACATATGTAAGTTAGTAAGTAAAAAGTATCGTAACAAAAATGGATCTCCATAGAAACACTGGACAGGATCAAAGGAAATAAGAACAAGAAGACAGCAAATAGCAATAGTCGAACACGAGCTGAGAAAGTCCAAGCACAAGCATTAATAAAAAGTTCCGAAGGACAATGGGAGATGAGCACAAGCTGAATACATAGAATCAAACAAGCAAGTGAATAAGAGCATTAGAGCCGACAAGCAGAAATACGTGGAAGAACTAGCAACGACGTCGGAGAAAGCCGCAAGAGAAGGAAATATGAAACAGCTTTACGACACAACGAAGAAACTAGCAGGGAAATATAGTAAAGCAGAGAGACCAGTCAAAAACAAAGAAGGAAGACCAATCACTGAGATTCATCAACAGCGGAACAGATGGGCAGAGTACTTCGAGGAACTCCTGAATAGGCCGGCGCCAATGAATCCACCGGAAATCGAAGCAGCACACACAGATCTCCCTATAGATGTCAATACACCAACGACGGAAGAAGTCAGAACGGCCATCAGACAAGTCAAGAGCAGGAAAACAGCAGGACCAGACAATATACCAGCTGAAGCACTGAAGTCAGACATCGAAGTAACTACAAACATGCTTCATCTTCTATTCAAGAAGATTTGGCAGGAGGGACAAGTGCCGATGGACTGGACTAGAAAGAAGGACACCTCATCAAGATTTCAAAGAAAGAAGATCTGAGCAAGTGTGAAAATTACAGAGACATTACACTACTGTAAATACCATGGAAAGTCTTTTACAGAGTGTTACTGAACAGGATGAAAGACACAGTAGACGCTCAACTTGGAGATCAACAAGCTGGATTCCGTAAAGACCGGTCGTGCACAGACCGAATTGCGACACTACGGATCATCGTCGAACAATCAGTTGAGTGGAACTCTTCACTGTACATCAACCTCATTGATTATGAGAAGGCATTTGACAGTGTAGATAGGAGAACTTTATGGAAACTTCTTCGACACTACGGAGTTCCTGAGAAGATTGTCAATATTATCCGGAACTCATACGACGGACTACAGTGCAAAGTAGTGCATGAAGGACAGCTGACAGATGCATTCTAAGTAAGGACCGGAGTCAGACAAGGCTGTTTATTCTCTCCCTTCCTCTTTCTTCTGGTGGTCGACTGGATTATGAAGACCACGACATGTGAGGGAGAACACGACATACAATGGACAGCTCAGAACCAATTAGACGATTTAGACTTCGCAGATGACCTAGCCCTCCTATCCAATACACACGAACAAATGCAAACAAAGACAGCCATCATAGTAGCAGTCTCTGCACCAGTAGGCCTCAAAATACACAAAGGGAAAACCAAGGTCCTCAAACACAACACGGAGAACAGCAATGCGATCACCCTTGATCCTTCACATACCTGTGAAGAATCGTCGACAAACAAGGAGGTTCAGATGCAGACTCAAAACAAGATTCAACCAATATCAAAGTCAGTAGCTTCAATACGAACATCAAGACATTTCTTCTGTATGGAGTTAAAACTTTGAGAACTACTACAACCACCGTCAAGAAGGTACAAGTATTTATCAATAGTTGTATACGCAATATACTCAACATCCGTTGGCCAGATACCATCAACAACAATCTACTATGGAAGTGAACAAACGAGCTTCCATCTGAAGAGGAAATTACTGAACAGGGTATGTGCAAACTCATCGAGAAGCATTAGCTGTGTTTTAGGTTGTTAAAAGATTTCACAAATATTTACTCAGAAAGAAATTCACTTCTGTTACTGATCATGAAGCTTTAAAGTTTATTTATCATCATGACAAATCTTTAGCACGTTCCTCAGCTGCTATGGTTCAACGATGGAGTATTGCTTTGAGTGTATATGACTATACAGTTCAGCACAGGAGTCCCAAACAAATTCAACACGTTGACTACGTCTCTTGATAATCATTACAAGGTAGACTTGTTATTACTTCATATTGTTTATTAGTGCAACCTTTACCAGTGAGACGTCCGGATCTCACTAGAGAAACTCGTCGATACTTTGAATGCATAACTAATGCTATACGGAACGGTTGGAATGCTAATCTGAAACGTAGATTCCCTATCTATTTTTCAATGTGGTATGTGCTGTCCACTACTCCTGATGGTATTTTCTGTTTCGATGATCGTGTTTTTATTCCTTCCTTATTGCGTAAATCTGTCCTTGAAGATCATCATTATGGACATTTAGGTGTTGACAGAATGGAGTCATCGGTAAGGCTCACATGTTGGTGACCAGAGGTAAGTGCAAATATATGTCGTACAGCAAACAATTGTGAAAAGTGTCATAAGTTGAAAAATCAGCATTCGAAGTGGACTCCATGGCCAGTATTGTCTGAGGCCTGTCGGAGAATCTATGCAGACTATTGTGGTCCATTTCTTGGCAAATACTATGCACTTGTAGTCATTGATTTTTTTCAAAGTGTCTGAAAATTTTCACAACTTCACCAAATTCTGACTTCACAATTCAAGCATTAAGATAGATGTTTAGTCGAGAAGGGGTTCACATGATGTTAGTGACCCTACAGTAGCTCTCATTTTGCTGCGATTTCAGTCTCCATCTGGTTAAACGGTATAGGGTGCAAACATCTGTATACTACTCCCATACATCCCTGTTCTAATGATCAGGCGGTAAATCTTGTCAGGACATTGAAAACTGCTATTGATTCTGTAGGGCCAGTGAAATTCCACTGAGCCCTAGCCATTGAGTATCGAACAAAGTCATCAATCCTTGTCAATGTCAAGGACAACCAACGCGCATCAGTTAATCGTACGCCATGGACTGGCCCATGCGGCAGTGGTCTGCTTTCGCTTGTATCTACTTTAACTAATATATTTCTGTAATAACGTCCTCTGTGTTGTACAGTCTTCAAAGCATCTATAGTACCTTGATACGTCAATGGGGTAATCTATGTAAGGTGCAGACCGCTAAGTGTGACTTAGACGTTAGCTAGTTTGTCACACCACTCACGTCTAACTCGAGTAAGCCTCAAATCATTTCGACATAGATCATCCACGCTCTTGATCTACACTGGTGAGCCCGACGTGATAGTGTAGATCAAGAGCGTGGACATTGACATTGACGAGGATTGATGACTTTGTTCGATACTCAATGGCTAGGGCTCAGTGGAATTTCACTGGCCCTACAAGATCAGGACGACTGGAAAAGAACGATGAAGTTGCGAAAAACGAAAATCTGCATTGTACCTTTTTTTACTACATTGTACATCATGGTCCATTATAGTAAGGAAAGACGACCAGACGCTGCTAAACCTAGCAAGCTATCAGAAGAGTGTTTACCAACGAAAATCTCGTTGGGTTTAAACTTCTGGCTGGCCACGTCTTAGGGTCATCACTACCCCATTAGGGGGGGGGTGATCTGTAGCGGTAAATAATTCCCCAAAATCAAATAGCTCTGTAAGTTTTCGACATTGGATGCTGACCACAGTTTTGCTACCACTACTACTACTACGAACTACTCCTATGACTACTGAATTCCTAGTAGAAACAATCTTTTTAATCAATATCAACAATTTTTATTTCCATGCTTATATTGTCATTTAAATTGTAAAGTGAAGAACTAAAACTCTAATGAGAATTTTAAACGTAGTGTAATTCAATTATTTCTTGGATCAGATGACAGTTTCATTCCAAATAAACATTTTTAATAAACAATTGTATTGAATACTTTTCATTCTGTATAAGGCAATAAATGTATCATTTCAATATATGTACGTTTATATATGCTCACTAGTGACTAGCTTCGTGAGAGAATTCTCAAAGTTCTGATGAGAAGAC